GTGACCGACAGCATCTCCAAAAGACTCTTTAAACACAAAATACTCTCTATTTTAGAGAGTCAATACTTAAAAATGAGCTCCAAGAGATTCTCTATTTTAATAAGTTTGGTTTTTCAAATTTAAAGAGTTCAACTCACTCTCTATTCTTAATGCACAATGATTAAATTTAATACATTACAAATTTCAATACTCTACAATTTAAAATTTTCAAATTACATTTGAATTCATTGTTCATTAATATATAAAAAATTATACTTAAATAAAATATGTGAAGAAATTATTAAATGTTCATTGGAAAAAATAAAATAAAGAATTAAAGTAGAGAGCTTGTTGGAGTGTATAAAAAAATTACTGCTAAATTTAAATATGCTCTTTATTATGCATAAGAATTTCTTTATAAATAGAGAGTCTTTGGAGATGCTCTGAGATGTGACCAAAGATCACCCTAAAGAAAAAAAATATTGATTAAGATTATGACTCGACCAAAAGGAAAGGACCGAAAAGATATTGTTGTTTATTTCATTAGGTATCAAGAAAAATATTTACTATAGATGTGCAGTGTGTGGACGGAGAGAGTGCACCAAATTACAATAAAAATGCATTATTATGTGGGCCTTTTGTTATTAGGGCAAATTTTCTGGTTTAATTAAAGTCAAATCACTATCAACTTTAGATATAAAGGTACATAATCTTTCTATATTAATGGTAACACATATCATCTTAAGTGGAGATGCAACTCAACGCTAAAAGAAAGAAGTTCAAGTGTATATATTAAAAGATTTTGTGGTTTTGTTAGGTGAATCATCAAACTATGCAAAAAACAAGTAGGACTGATCTACCTTAACAACAATAAACACATACTATATTGTGACTAGAAAATGTATATTATGAATTCCGAGTGATAGCAGTGACCTGTGGACATGAACAGACTGATGAATCAGTGACAAGTTGTTGAAAGCAATTACAAATTGGTAATCGAGAATACGTCAAACCAAAGGTTTGAATATAGTTTTGAAAAATTTGACAAAAGTTCAATCATTGCTTTGGTCTATTCATCTTCTTAATTTCTTGAAGATGCCATGCATATCCATTTCCAAAATCTTGCTTAGTCCTTCGTTTCAACCCGGTCACATCTAAAGTTGGTTATAGGGCGTCCATTTAAGCAGGTTCTACTCAATATTGGATTGCATTCAAACTCAGCTTTCATATGCTCTGCCATAACCTTTGTAGATTAATTTTTTTTGCATACCAAATCCTTATCTGCTTTATGGTGTAATTTGGACAATGCTTTACCATTTGACAATCCCACCTTTTCTATCCCTAAATGATTTCTCTCTGTCATGAGACGAATAATGATTGAGCATCTTAACTTTTTTTTGTAGATATAGAAGTCCCCGTTGCTTGTATCATACTGGTGTTCTTATTCTATCTGCAACACTATGGGACGCACCGAATAGGATTTCTTTTTGCACCAGTTGTTATAGCATGGCTTTTTTGCATCAGTGCCATTGGAGTGTACAATATTTTCCACTGGAATCCCCATGTTTACCAAGCTCTCTCTCCTTATTATATGTACAAATTCTTGAAGAAGACACAGACAGGAGGTTGGAAGTCCTTGGGTGGGATATTGTTGTGTATAACAGGTAAGTAGGCTCTCTTTCGGCATTGGGATAGGCCATTATATTTTATATTCAATTAACTCAATGGGTATGCTATGCACGTTTCAGGTTCCGAGGCCATGTTTGCTGATCTTGGACACTTTTCACAGATGTCTATCAAGGTAATATTTAGTAACTTGCCGAGTTATACATATATTTTTGAGGAATTTCTGTCATGTTCACATTACATTCATTAATCAATGTATTGGTTAATATATTGTCTATAGTCAATGATTATGCATAAATTGAGAGCATTTACTAACTACTGTAATTGAAAACTGTTCAACTGCAGATAGCATTTACCTTTGTGGTTTATCCATCCTTAATTCTTGCTTACATGGGACAAGCTGCTTATCTTTCCAAACATCATATAATTGAAAGTGGTTATCATATCGGTTTCTATGAATCAGTACCAGGTATGTAGTTCCTTCATTTGGAAAAAAAGAAAATATGTCCCCTTCTAATGATTGTTTATTGTGCCAGAAAAAATAAGGTGGCCGGTTCTTGCAATTGCCATACTTGCTGCAGTGGTTGGGAGCCAATCCATTATCACTGGAACGTTCTCCATTATCAAGCAATGCTCTGCTTTGGGTTGCTTCCCGAGAGTTAGAATAGTACACACATCTTCTAAAATTTGTGGCCAGATTTACATTCCTGAAATTAACTGGACCTTAATGTTGCTCTGCCTTGCCGTTACTGTAGGTTTTAGAGACACAAAACATATTAGCAATGCATCAGGTAACATCTACAAATTGATTTTTATAGAATGTTTTATTGACTACATTTATATTTCGAGAAGCAACTAAATAATATTGAGCTGAAATGACTTTTATAGTATGTTTTTGTTATTTACAAATTCTTGTACCGCATTCTTATAAATAGAGATATATATAATATTTATTTATTTATTTTTTGGAGCAGGTCTCGCTGTCATAACTGTTATGCTGGTTACGACATGCCTAATGTCTCTAGTCATTGTGCTATGTTGGCATAGAAGCGTTATTCTAGCTGTGTGCTTTATATTATTCTTCGGTTCCATTGAAGCGCTCTACTTCTCTGCCTCTCTTATCAAGTTCCTTGATGGCGCTTGGGTCCCAGTTGCTCTCTCATTTATCTTTCTAATCATAATGTACGTCTGGCATTATGGAACATTGAAAAAGTACGAGTTTGATGTTCAGAACAAAGTTCCCATAAACTGGCTCTTGAGTTTGGGTCCGAATCTTGGGATTGTTCGGGTTCAAGGCATTGGTCTCATACACACAGAACTTGTGTCTGGGATTCCTGCTATTTTCTCTCATTTCCTCACCAATCTACCGGCTTTCCACAACGTTCTAGTTTTTCTGTGTGTCAAATATGTTCCGGTGCCTCACGTGAGACCTGAAGAGAGATTCCTCGTGGGAAGAATCGGCCCAAAAGACTACCGAGTCTATCGCTGCATAGCACGTTATGGATACCGTGATATTCAAATGGATGATGTGATGTTCGAAAATGATCTTGTTTGTAGCATAGCAGAATTCATTCGGTCAGAGGGCTCTGAATGTAATGGCGGTCAAGAAGATCTCGAGAACGAAGAAAGAATGACAGTAATCGGGACGACATCAACAAACTCAAAAGGAATAAGGATGTGCAATGATGATGAAGATTTATCCGAAGAAACAAGCACTACAAAGTTAAAGGAAATTAGTTCACCGGAAGTGCCGAGGAAGAGAGTGAGATTTCTTGTCCCTGAGAGTCCACAAATCAATGTGACTGCACGAACGGAGTTGCAGGAATTGATGGAAGCAAGGGAGGCAGGAATGGCGTTTATTCTTGGCCACTGCTACGTGAAGGCAAAGATGGGTTCAAGTTTGATTAAGAGAATAGTGATTAATACATGTTATGATTTCTTGAGAAGGAACTCAAGAGGACCAGCACATGCACTATGTTTCCCTCGTGCATCAACGTTAGAAGTTGGAATGGTGTACCATGTATGATTGTCTTGTCTGTATAGATAGATACAGTCTACATAAATATTTTGCTCATAAACTCGGTAAACAAGGATAGATGAAATATTTTGTAGAGGTGTGTGAATGTTGAAACACCAGCTGGTGGTTTGTATTTTTTCACTCAAGAAAATTCTATTGTTAAGAATGTTGTGTCCTCCTTTGTTTCTGGCCTATTTTCATTTCTTTGTGAATCTTGATTATACAATCTCATCTCCAAAAAGGTTAAAATTCTGTTCCTGATATCGCTAAAATCATCGAGCAAACATTGTGAAGCTCGAAATTACTGCCCTTGGGTTATTGCATAGAATTACTATCCTAACTCACTAAATCCCTTATGTTGTCGTGGTAAAATCTTGAGTAGAAAAGTATTGTCTTTGCCCTAAGCTAATGTCGCAAATGGAAGAACTCATGTATTCCTATTTATGGTTGCATTTCGTCAAGCTTTGAAAGGCTCGATAGCATGGTGGTTCCATCTTGACATTTACCAGGCAGTTCCTCAAAACTCATGCAAATCATATTACTCGACTTTATTTTACATTGCTAGGCAAATGCTTAGTTTGTGAGTTTATATGTAATTGAGCATTCTATTGTTATAAGTCAATTTATGGGTGAGCTTTATCCGATAAAGTTGTTATAGTTGAGTTATCCTTTTTAGATAATCTTAACTGTGGACATGGCAACTTGATGAGGAGGACTAATTTTAGTAGAAGATTGGTTCCGTAAAGTCATCTAACTGAGAATATAGACTGTCATGGATGTCAATTTTAAGAAGTATGAAATAAAATAACTCTAATTGTATTGCACCAAAAAGCCAACTGGCCTAAGTTAAAAATTTGAAAGGAATGAGCTCAACCTCGAGCTTTGCAAAAGAAAATTTGAAAGGAAGGGCTGGACTTCGACCTTGTTAAAAAGAAAGAAGCTCGACCTCGAGCATTGTGTAAAATTTTGTTTCAACATCGATGATGACGAACTGTTGTATTATTATCCAATTAACGTAAGAATAAATGGTAAACTATTTTATCTATTTCCTCGGACCATTAGAGAAACACCAAACTATTCAGTTGCACTTGAAGTTTGAATTAAACTTCTTTGGTGGAAAGAAAATGCCACCCTTGTTTACAGATATTTACACGGGAGTGGAACTCATGTGAATAAAAAATGTCAAAAAATTCCTCCAACTATTGTGAGGGGTCTAACAAGGAGGGTGTTAAATCCTCTGTCAGCGTAGCAAGATTGTTGAAGTTTTACCCAAAAAAGTGAGTGAAAATGTTTTGTTCAACCACTCACTACAAATTTGATGGGACAAGTTAAATTTGACTGAAAATTAAACGAAAAGCTTATTTAGAAGGATTATTCCATATGTATCGAATGGGGTGCCGAATGGTGTTCCCCTCTCACAATGCATGCAGATCACGTGTGAATTTTAAAATGCAGACATGTGGTCTCCATTCTTATTGTGAGTAATAGGTAAAAAATTCGATAAAAAAATTCGATACCTGATTGTCCAATTTAGATTACCTTGTACAATTTTCCCTGTAACACGAATCTAGACCACATAGGTTGGTGGATCCAAACTTGACTCTCAAGTCTCAACATGCAGTAAATGGGTTAAAATTCTAGATCCGACCCAAATCCAACTTGAACTTAGCCATCCATATATGACAAAATTATCCGGTCACGCTTTACCACAAAATGAGCTCTAAGGGGCATTAAAGAGACAAATGTACTAATGGCTATGGCTTAGTCTCTAATGAATAGGTGGTTCAGCTGTCAGTAGGATTGTGATGTGACTGCAGAACCGGGTTCTTCTTGGCCCACCACATGAGCGTGTGCTGTATTTTTTTAAAAAGAAAATGAAATTGGCCAAGGCCAGCTGTCTTACAAATGATTGATCTCAATCTTTTGGATTATATACTCTTGGCCAAAAAACAAAAAGGTCGTTCATTACATTTTTATCCAACTAAAATCGGGCATCCGGATCGGCTCATAACGATCAACATCGTCCTGGATGGTTCATCGAAACCCTTCTACTAGTATACTAGCAATTAATTGAACAGATCTGCTAGGGGTACATTACCTCATACTTAAGGGTGTCCATAATGAATACAATGATGAGACGTCTGATGCACGCAGGGGCTCACAGGTGAGGCGTCAATGACGAGACGTCGGGTGTCCATTATAAAGACCCTTAGGTACAATGTGATGTACCTTTATCATTTTTGTTAATTGAATATTACGGGTTTCTTTCTTACGAAAAAGGGAGCACATGGGGAGAACACAATGACCCACAGCCATGGCTATACCCAAATTTTTAATCAAAAAGTTCCATGGATCCCACCACTTGGTCCCAGCCCAGAAGAAAGAACTCGATGCACAAAAAAGAGCGTTTTCACACTATATTCCAAAAGATTAAAGAAAGCAACAATGAGAAAGACAAGATAAGAAAACAGAATAGGCTACCAAAACAAGGCAAAAGAAAAGAAAAGAAAAGATAATTGCCCTCTGCTTTGATGAAAAGACAATTTGCATGACAAGTTTCGACCAACCGTTTATCACAAAATCGAGACCCTTCGACTGGTTCAACTGAAACATAATACCCCTGTTCCATAGTGCAATATCTCATGTCGAAACAAGTTCTAAGTCCAATTTATAGTCATGTCAAAATGTTGAGATCAAACATCAAGACTGTACACCAAGATGAATCTTATCAAAGAGGCACAATAAATTAACTTGCAACACCGGGAAATTCAGACTTCCATTACTACCTGTGTACATAAAGTTTCCGAACAGAAGAAAGCCAACACTGTAATTTACCAATCAGCAATTAATCAAAAAATTTAAAATAAAAAAGCAAATTACTCTCAGAGGCCTTCTGTTCTCTGCATCCACGGTAAGTCCATATTAAGAGAAGAGGGATTGTCAATTTGTGCATTCGAAGAGCCAGCAAATTTGCCCTTCTTTGACCATAACCATATCTTGGAAACTGAATAGCTATCAGTTTTCGTCCCAATACTAATTTTCTTCCCATTTTCTTCCCTTCGATCAGGCGAGAGATTACTAGCTTGTTCTGTCCCCACAACAAGCTTCAAATTGTGACCATTTTGATCATGGCTCGAGGCAGCTACCCTTAGATTAGCATCACCAACGACATATTGATAAGACCCCATTGAATAACACCTTCGAGCATCCAATTTACTGCTACTAGTCTCTCCTATGTCTTCCTGCACTTGCTCATTATTCAACTTTCTGAATTTACCAAGCCTCACAGGAAAAACACCCTTTTCTGCAGCTACTTCCTGAATTTGCACCGTCTTTAGACCAGATGAAAATCCATTCTCTCCATTACCCTGAAATCCATCTTCTTCCCTAAAATCCCGGTAATCGAAAACTTGGTTTTCTGTCGAGAACTCAGGATTGAAAAGCGTATCCCTACAGAGAGGACATGTCGAGTTTGACAGAAGCCAAGTATCGATGCAACTGATATGGAAAGCATGGCTGCACACTGGAAGCAATCTCAGTTGGTCCTTCTCAGAAAATTCACATAAACAGACAGCACAATCAAAGGGCTCTTTCGCACCACCCACTATCTCCTTGTACATAAACACCGGTAATGCATCAATAAACTCTTGATCTAAACCAGAATCATGTAAATGGAAGAGTTGTTGCAGTTGTCTTTCAAGTGCATCAGAGGTAGAAACTTCCAAATTTCCATTAGATTGAGAGGATGACTGGCTTTTGGTAAGAAATCTAACAAGCAAGTGTAGAACCCCAGATATGAAGAACAAAACAGCTAAAATAACTATAATGAACAAAGCAGCTGGACTAATCCTTGTACCAGATGAAGATGGGCTTGATTCTTTATGGAAATTACTATTAACACCATACGGAGATATAGGAGGTGGGTATGTCATTACACCATCTTTCTGATACATTTTATGCTGAATCCAAGACATTTTCACATGGGTATGCCCAGAAATCAAACTCTGTTCTTCCATTTCTTTCATTAAATAGACAATCTTAAGAATTTAGAAACAATACATAGTGTGACATCACAAGGATGTATGGGCATAATAAAGCGAATTTGTTTTTTTTCCCTTTCAGATAGAGAAACCCCAAGTGACTGATTGTTCAATAATATGAGCAGAAATGACATAGGAAACTTTAAAGATTGAGTCTTTACCTACCTTGATCCTCCATTAAAGTATTCATAACATGGACCCGCTTCTTGCATCAGCAGAAAAACCCTAAAAACACAGCTTCTGGCAGGAATATTAGAGCCTTTAACATGCTTGGAGTACAGAGGTAAAAGAAATCTTCAATATCTATTATTCTACTTGACAATATGCTTCCAACAAAATAAATACACACACACATATACATATATATGAGCATCTAAACTGAAGGTAAATTATGCTAAAAAAGACTGCAATTTTTACTTCCTCCAAGAAATAAATGGACAAAAGAAAAAACTGTAGAAACAGAGAGAGATTTACTATTGCTGTAAACATACGATTCCGTTAAGCGCGTGGATTAGGGTGGTCAACATTTCACCTGCCACATGCCCGGTCCACTAAAATGGGATGAAAATACGGTAAGTTGAAATTTTGAAAATTAATTACAATTAAGGGCTTAATTAACAGGTTTAAGACAGTATTATTATTAATTGCGCCTAAATTTTGAGAAATTACTTGCGTAGGTTTGTATTATTAAGTCGTTATGAATGTCATTTTTAATAATAAAAAAATTATAACTTCGTATAAATTGAATCTACAACAATGAAAATAACATTTCCTTTGATTAATTTTTTTTCGAAAAATTCTTAAGTTGTCCAAACAAACACAAAATATTATTTTACGGCAATGTTTGATTATAAAATCACACAATTTGGTGTTTTAAATCATAAAACATTACTTGTCTTGTAGGTTATTTGGACGTAGCTTAGAGGGATGAAGCGTGTAGGAATTTGTCATCTTAATCTTTAATCCAAAGGAAATGAAGTAAAATGTTGGGTTAGGAGAACTACTTTAGTAGTTTAATAAAGGCGACAGCAAGAGAAGATAATAAATTAGTACGTCACAAGGAAAATATCATTCTAAGAGCCTGTTTGGGAGTGATTTTGAGAATTAATTTTTTGACCGTTAGGAGAAAAGTGAGGTCCACCTGTGAGAGAAAAAATCAAATATGATGACTAGAATAGTGAAATAACGATCAAAAAATTAATTTTCTGGGGCAAAAAATCGCTCCCAAACAAGATATAAGTTTGCAAAATAATTAATAATAATTTTTGGCCTAATGTTTAGTCAATTGTGTTTATTGTATAGCATGATTTGGTCTTGCAATGAATTAACCAAGTTAATTTTGTTGCAGCTTGGTCCACTTCAATTTATGTGGAGCGTAACTCAGAACAAGCAATCCGAACATAAGATCCGATTATACAAACTAAAATATATCTGATTAAAAATAAATGCATAGCCTCCTTGGAGTTATTGCCCTAATTATGAGCAAGACTTGGTTCGTGTAGATGCTAGGCCTAGCCTCCTTGGATTTATTGGCACATTTATATTGCATATGAGCTCGATCCTAATTTCGTCCTTGTCCTTAGCCTATCAAATTCAATTCTTAACCAAGGCTAGAACTCAATTGGCCAGGATTTATTGCATATGAGCTCAATTTTCTTCCATTGCTTGGAAACCATTGTTAAGTCGAAAAACGTTAAGTTTCAAGAAACCAGATCGCTTTGCAGAAAATTAAAAGATTCGAACACAAAGATATGTTTCGCCCTAAAAAGGGTCCGGATGTTCAATCTTGCGACCTAATCACCCGTTAAGCTTCAACAAAGGTGATAAAGCTCAAGATCCACTAAGTGTCAACCAAGAACAGTACAATATGTACGAAGAAACCAAACTATACAACACAATCAGAAACCATCACTAATATTACAGATTGAAAAATCACCAAGAACATATCGAATTATAGTAACCCAAGAACCCTAATCTATCACTCAGAGAAAAGGAGAGAAAGCGAAAGGTTGAAAGACTTCGAATCGTCTAGAATCAGGGCCAAAACCAAGTAAGTATCTGATTAGTCAACCATCCAAGGGTGAGGGTGAAGCCACGTGTACGGCTGAACCTCAACCATTTAAGAGACAAAAGCGTGTTTCCCTAAAACTCATTTTATAACCCGAAATTAATTCCAACAGACCAAGCCCACAAGTCTCAATCTGGGCCAGCAAGAAATGGTGAGACAACCCAACTAATATAAAAACCATTGATACTGGCAACAATGGAACGGTCTGGATAGTCAACTACCATTAGCCGTGTTCACTTATCAATGGCTCCACCTTTGTATTAAAAAATAAAAAATAAAAAAAAAATTGAGGATTTTGGTTTCTGGTGGGCTATTCCATCTTCATGAAGTTGTATATGCATAAATACTAATGTATCGTTATTCGACTTTCCCAGTCGAATGCCGGTCAGTTTGGTTTCCCATGTGTAAGTTTTGCGTATGTAACGAATGAGATAAAACCAGCTTTAGATGAAAAAGAAGGTAAAAAATTCTTGAGTGGAAATTACCGTGAATTAACCCTAAAAGGACTCCCATTTGGTTGATATTCATAGACTACAAGTTTTTCCTGCCTTGAACTTGGTCGAGTCTTCGCATTCTCCGCTTAAAATCATGGCTTGATACCGTCCGGCCTTTAATCTTTTTCACACCTCACTTTGAGCACTCTATCGATTTTCCCTCCCGAGCAACTCAGCAGGAGCCTTGAGCAAATCTTTGATTTTCTTTCATTTTTCTAATTCTAGAGAGAATTGTATATCTAACATGTTGTTCGTGTATAATTTTAACTTTGTGTATATTAGTCAATTTCATCCCTTAAAGAGGGAGAAGGGTTTCATTTTTTAATGGGCTCTAAGCCGCTTGACTTAGTTCATGAGGCAAAGAGTCAACAAACTGAATTGAGCAATGTTTCTAAACAAGAGCCAAGCTCGAATGTTTAAGAATGTATTGGCTCCAGTCGATCCATTGTTATTAAAATACTAGTCGTTTACATGTGCATTGCACGAATTTTGTTTCTATCGTGTTTTCATTAATGTAGAAATTGTAGATGTTAAGAGAGAGAGAGAGAAATTGTTGAAGATTTATTGCATTATTCAAGAGTCTTGAGAGTGTAGTATTGCCTAGATAATGCTCTATCCAACAAGATGATCATTTCAAAAGCTAATATTACAACACAAAGAAACGCACTAAAAAATTAAAATTTAAGACATCATGTGTATTTAGAACACATAAAACAAAGTCACCCTTTCTAAATATTAGTAACTACCTACTCCATCAGAATACCGATATTGAATTTGCTTATTTAGTAAAGTAGTAGTTGCCAACGGAAGGCTAATCGCTAGTCCATATCTATCTGTAAAGGATGCAGCCTCCCCCTGCAGCAAACACGACAAAAGCTTTGCACCAACAACGATAAACTGGAGACTGAGATGTAGCTGCTTTATTTTTGTACCTGCAATGTCATGTAATGTCCAGCTCTCTTCAAAAGATTGATGCATATTCTTTTTTTCGTTCACTTATATCAACAATAAAAAATGTTAATAGTTTCCTACAAAACACCATCTGTAAGTGAAGAAAACATAGATTCTATTTAGAATGCTCCCAGTGTAGAGAAATATAAATAAAGAATGAGCACATGTGAGCGTATGTTGTTTCAATTCTTGTAACATGCCTGTTGAATGGGTTCCTCAGTCAGTGGATGCCAATATCGCATTGCAACATAGACATTTACAGCAACTTCCTTTGCTTCTCGTGCCAATTTTACTGCAAATCCTAGAAGCAACATCACCAAATCCCTTTTTGCAGTGAAACCTTAAACCAAACTCCATACCAATACTGTATCAATCTTAAAGTTTTTAATGTCGTTTCAAGTGCTCATTGAACTTCTTTATTTGAGTAATTTATTTATATCAGATGTCATTCTTAACCACATAACAAAGCCTTTTGTTAATTTGACTTCCATGTATTCTGATATTAGTGTAAGCAGGAAATTACATCTCCAGTTCAACATACAACACTTCTTGAAGCCAAAAGTTCTTATTCACGAAGCTATAAGATCTTCACTTACCAAAGTAAAAGAAATTCACATACTTGGGAAGAAATTGAAGATACTATATGCCAAGACAAGATCAAATTTAGCTTCTAAACTTAATCAACTACTTCACAAAGCGAGCAGGAGTTTCAATGAGCTCTTTCTTTAATGGATCTTCACCCAAAGAACCAAAAATCGAATCTACTGCATTAAATTTTTCCAAAATTGTTAGTTCTATCCTATAGAAAGCATGAGATGGGCACCAAGATTTGTACTCGATCATTTAGAATAGATATCCTCTACATTTATATATCTGAATCTCACAAGACTTAAAAAATCAGTCCAAGTGTCCACTTTTAATTGTTGTTGCACGGTAGTAGGCATCAACAAAAGCAAATAGCATATATAGTAAAAAATGAAGAAGAATGGAAAGCTAGGAGTATATGATTAAAAGAACAATAACTCTAATAGTGACTGAAGAAATTTGTTTTGCAGTATACTATAAAGCACAAAAAATCAAAACTCAAGGAATTAGATGCTAGTGATTTCTCTATCTACGCTACGTTGCAAAAGATACTTGCATCTTATAGCAAATTCTACGCCAAATTAATGGCATCAAATAACTGATTCACATGATAAATTAAGTTGGCAGTCTTATCCCAATTTCTTAAACATGGAAACCAAATTTTCACAGTTCAATCGCTTCCATCATCCCCATTTTATCTTCAAATCAACCAAAAACCAAATTGAGATCGAAATCCACAAAAAATTTACATAACCTTTCAAATCAAACGATCAAGCAATGCATTAAATCCCACACAAAGTAGCCCAATCCCGCTATAAAACCAATTGGATAAACCAAAATCCCACTTACTCGAAATCATTTCAAGAAAAATGCACAAACCAATTTAAAACATTTTTTGTAGTGACAAGTTAAAAGTCTGAACAAATTAATGGTGGGGAACCTCCCCAAGTAACAATTATAATATTGTCTTGAGATCATCTAAGAGCCTGTTTGGATAAGCTTAAGAAATAAGTAAAGTTAATTAAAAGTACTTTAAGCTTGGCCAAATCATGTCTGGATCTTTATAAGTTACTTCTTCTCCCAAACTGGTCTGCTATTTTTTAAAAGAAACTTTTTCAAAAACAATTCAGCATGATATGTTAATTTTTAAAAGCATTTAATTACTTTTTTGAGAAAAAAAATAGGTAAGTTTACTTTCTAGGATTAGCCAAACATGCTTTAAAAATTGGTTAATTAGAAGTTTTAAGCAGCAATAGAAAATAAAGGAGCAGTACAGCAGCACAGTTCAACGATAGTGTGAAAGGAAACACACTACTAACCAGACTGTTATGGTAGAAAAGCTGTTCAAAAGCCAGCCAAGCAATGCTAATTCAAATTCAGATATACAATGCAACTTACATACTTGCATAAGGTCTATCACCTTCAGGATTAAGCCTCTGCCACATATGGTTTTTTGAGCAGTATCCAAAGCCCAGGCATCTGATAATACTCTTTTACCTGTAGCAATCAACATAAACCGTTATCTAGTGTCAAGAAGCCAATAGTTCTACATGCATAATACACATAAATAGGTGAATGAAATAGCCGGTAGAAAGAAAGTAAAATCTATCTTAGCTTAAATCCACTATGATATTACACGCCCGTGAAAACAATGGAAAAGATCCAATAATTATCAATATTTATTTAGGCATGAACTGATATTTTTTTTTCAAAGCCCAATTCCATTCCTGAAAACAACTCTTTTATTGTGGCAAGCTTTATCAACTAAGGCTCAATTTCATGATTTTAAACTGCAAAACTTTTTCCTCTTTATCGCATGTGACAACTCCTGCCATCAAGTCCATTTCAAGGGTGGACACATGCCCAATTGTCTCTTCATTTGCAGAAGGAACTCTTTTAGGACCTTGAGTGCAAGCAGTTCCAAAGAAAAGTCGAAGTTATAAATGCACATAGTCTACTTCAATGATTGATAAAATGACATATGATTTTCTTAATCTAAATAATATAATGAAAAATCACATTGAAGGGTGACTGAAAATCAAAGATCAACCTCACCATCATTGTCGTTGACCATAACAAGGTATCTTCGCGCAATCAAGTCCATCATGTGGCAATATC